GTTATCAGTAAATTAAAATCAAACTCAAAATCAAAAAAATATTTGTATATGAAATTGCACATTCGTGGCTCTACAATCTGTCAATACCTGTACCTTGGTATTCTACAAGGTTGCTTCTTTATCTAACTGTTATTGACGTTTTTACATTAAATCCATTGGATGTTTGTATGTACAGATGATATTTTAGTCTTGGATGCAAGAATTTTTATAAGTTTGTATTGGCTTTGAACAAACTGTCAGTAACTGCGAGTACTCTAAGGTCTGAACTTTGTGTCATGTTTGTTGTGGGGATTTATAAATAAGTCCGGTTTCGTAGAGGTGTTTCTGCTTTGTATCTATCTAAAGCGTTCAGCCCTTTTCAACTGATTTTTAAAGTTTGTTCTTATGTTGTACTGATACATCACTGTCCCATTTAAGGGGAGGATATGCGCCTTCAAACTAGTTTAATTCCACCACATTATGTACATTTGTACGTGTCAGGAGCCTTTATACAGTGGTTGTCGTTTGTTGCCGTATATGATATTTGTTTTTCGTTCATTATTTGTATACATAAATCTGGCCGTTAGTTTTCTCGTTTGAAAACTTTTATATTTTTCATATCAGGGCTTTTTATAGCTGACTATGCGGTATGGATTTTTGCACCTCGTTGAAGACAATGCGGTGACCTATAGTTCTTAACGTCCATGTCATTTGGTCCCTTGTAGAGAGATGTCTCATTGGCGATGATATCACATATTCTTGTTTTTATATTAACATTATTATTTATTGATAAACAAATCAAGATGCATATCGATATAAACAATATTCGATTTAATCACAGTGTGAAATTGGTTTTATTTTTCATTTAGTTTATTCTAAGGATTGATAAGTATCCAGGATTACAGGCTCGGTAAACAACATCATTGTGAAAGTTATGATATGGTGTCCCGTTTGTACTAAGTTTTTATCAGGTACAGCCAAACTTCAAAACCAAATCATTGTACATGTTGTAATTATGAAAGAATTAAGAAAAGGTTTAAAGTTATTTTTGGTAAAAAAATAATCTTTGACTTTATAATTTAACCGTAATACACATATTACGTTCATTGAAATCTAAAGCGTAACTACAGACACGAGCATAGCGAACAAGGTGGGATATATTACCCCCGTAAGATGAGAAAAAAGGATGATAACAATTCAAAAAAAGAAAATTAACAATTCCCGTGCAAAGCCTGAATATCTAAACAGTTATTGCTATTTATATTTGATTTTTTTCTAGTAAATAATTTTTTGTAAGTATATTTAGTAATTTCTTGATTATTTAACGAACAAATATTTTCAAGATCAAGGTGTTTGTTGTTGAATTTATCAATTAAATTATATTTAAAAGGGGTTTTTACTGGGATTGGACACTCTGATTTAAAAAAAAATACGGGATAAGGTCTTCTATTAAATGGCCACAATTGTTGCCCATAGGAATACATACAACTTGTCGATAAACTTTACTGCCGAAACTTTCATAAATGTTGTCAACGAGGAAATTTACAGCTTTAATTATTTAATCACACTCTCAGTACGTATATTTAGCATATTTGTAAACGTGTCATATTAAGAGCTGAATCTCAAATCTGTCAACAGAATTTTAATGACAATATAAAACACGTAATTTATTTAAAACATCCAAAAAAGTGTTAACACTCCAAAAATAGTTATATTCACATTCCAGTGTTTCAAATGTGGGTCGTCTGTGTTTCCTCAAATCAGATGCACCATAGAATGTTTGTTCATAAAGGCAAAACTAATTGTACATTATTTTAGTATTATTTTCAAACTATTTCAAGAACATGATTGTAACATTCAGAGGCAAGCAGCACAACTTTTGTGATTTCTGAAGGATGACGGTTTATATTTTGCATCGAGTCCTCCAACTGTATAACAGCCAGATAATTTTGGTGCAAACAACACAGAGAATAGTTCTTCAAGATCTTTAACAAAAACAAAAACAGAGCCTACACAAATTTGCTATATAGAGTTGTAAAAAACTGACGCTTTTAACAAAGAATAAAAACAATGAAGCAACAGATGCAGCGAATCAAAGATGACAAGATACTAATGTGAAACCTAGTGATTTTAACAAGCATTATTTAGAAGATAAACAATTTGAAAGACTTCTAGACGATTTCTTCTAGTAGTTATTGCCCTAACAGTATTTTTTTTTTTATTATTATTTCTGCCTATTATTTTAAAAACTATAATAGATTTTAATAGGTGAGCAAGAAGGGCTCGTTAGAGTCTTTCGTTTTGTTTTGTTTTGGTATCTTTTTTTTTGCCATGGATTTGTCTCCTTCTCTTCGATTTTTTCTTCTTTTTAGTTGCAAAATAAAATCATGTATCCTACCGTCATTTCATAAAGAACGCAATAACTATCAAAGATCAAATTATTTTTTTAACCTAAAAACAAAACAGATTGAGACTGATACCATCTGAAATTTCTTTAGGGGAGCCATTCACAAAATGCTGAATCTAAGGACATCAAGTTTGAGCACATCAATTGCACATTAAATTAACTAACAGTTATTCATTTTTCGTCCCGTATTTATTCAGCTTGTATTATTTTATTAAACTGTGTATTAATGAAATGTGGAAATATTCAAAATGCCAACTGTCTTGATTCGAGTGCCTGTTTTAAAGCCCTCTAACATTGTTATATTTCGTAAGGTAAACTATTGTTTTTATCAAGAAGGTTGTTTTTCATCTATATGTACAATGTATATATGTTGTGATAGAAATAATATATATTATTATTATATTGTGATAGAATAGAATATATATCATTATTCTATTGTGATAGAATAGAACATATATTATTATTATATTGTGATAGAATAGAATATATATCATTATTATAGTGTGATAGAATAGAATAAATATCATTATTATAGTGTGATAGAATAGAACATATATTATTATTATAGTGTGATAGAATAGAACATATATTATCATTATATTGTGATAGAATAGAATATATATCATTATTATATTGTGATAGAATAGAATATATATCATTATTATATTGTGATAGAATAGAACATATATTATTATTATATTGTGATAGAATAGAACATATATTATTATTATATTGTGATAGAATAGAATATATATCATTATTCTATTGTGATAGAATAGAACATATATTATTATTATATTGTGATAGAATAGAATATATATCATTATTATATTGTGATAGAATAGAATAAATATCATTATTATAGTGTGATAGAATAGAACATATATTATTATTATAGTGTGATAGAATAGAACATATATTATCATTATATTGTGATAGAATAGAATATATATCATTATTATATTGTGATAGAATAGAATATATATCATTATTATATTGTGATAGAATAGAACATATATTATTATTATAGTGTGATAGAATAGAACATATATTATCATTATATTGTGATAGAATAGAATATATATCATTATTATATTGTGATAGAATAGAACATATATTATTATTATAGTGTGATAGAATAGAACATATATTATCATTATATTGTGATAGAATAGAATATATATCATTATTATATTGTGATAGAATAGAATATATATCATTATTATATTGTGATAGAATAGAACATATATTATTATTATAGTGTGATAGAATAGAACATATATTATTATTATATTGTGATAGAATAGAATATATATTATTATTATATTGTGATAGAATAGAATATATATCATTATTATATGATCTAGTATTGATGTTTCATGTAGTAAAAACTGATTTGTTTCATTCTATAGACCAAATTGTATATTTTTTTAGCCTTTTGCTTCAAATTAAAAGATATCATGTTTTGTTTAGATTTGATGAATCAGCTTTAATGACAAGCCTTGTGTAATTTCCTTGGATGAACAAAGATATATGCTTGGAGTATAAGTGTGTTTTCACCATTTTCGATGTTCCCATCCCTAATTTTTTATATTTTTCAAGTAAAATAATTTAGTGAATAATTAATTATTAATCGTTTTGCAATAATAGATTTTTGAGGTCAGATTATAACGGCGTTTCTCCAATGGCTCCTTTTTATTAACTAAATTTCTCTGATTTATAGATATGGACGTGTTTCCAGTGACATTGCAAATTTCAATGAATGTAATATTTTCAATACATTTACAGAGCAAAAAAAGAAATTGCTTTACGATAATCTGTATATACGTTAAATAATATAAAGTATATAATATAATACAATATAGTATTGCTTCAAAATGTTTTGTTTGTATTTATATTTTGTATTAACTTTTAGATTAATAGCGTTTTGCCCAGTAAAGTGTTTTCCTTTTAATAATTGTCCTTCTACAGACACTTTGTTAGTCATTGGTCGAGATTTAGAAAGAGATAGCTAGAACTTACTTAATATTTTAAATACATGTTTTATGTAAATATATTTTGTGTGAATAACTTATCCTGTTATATGAATTTCTTGTATTTTCTGTAGAATATGACATTCACCCAGATCGAACCATTTTAAACTTTTTTACGTATTTATTATTTAAATTGCTCTGTTTGTTTGCATTTATAGATGTTTGTCCCGTTGATCCTAGCAAATAGACATAAATCAATTGTTTATAATTTGGTGTTCAAGTAAGCATTCTCTACGCATCATAAAAGCTTAACATATGCATTGTAAATATAATTAAATGTGTAAAGAAGATTGTTGGTTTGTAATTTTGTTATATATAATAAATGTAATACCATTTTAATGAACTCATTCACTGAAACAAACATGCAATTAATCGAGTAGTTATTTAATTTTAACCGTATCTGTCAACAATCTAACAAACCCAAACGCTTCAGCAGTGAACCAAGAAAATATCTTCAGTAATGAAAATAAAAAAAATAACTTGAAATATTTCAAAGTGGAAACGGACCAATCAACACATACATGACATAATTTGCATCATTTAATATCAGCACATAGAAAACACTTATTGATAATTTGTTTAAGAACAAGCTATTGAAGTCAATCTTCTTAGAATGTTATTCGACATGACAATGATTATATCTATCATATTTCTATGTATGCAAACTATGTTCATTGCTGTCCTAAGTGAATCAAGAATTAAATTGATCTCAGCGCAACAAAAATCTGAATATGACAACATGTACGAAAAAAAGAACGCAATTGGAACCTATCTTGTTAGATTTGTACGTGAATGCGGAGTGAAGTGTTTGTCAAATAAGCGTTGCTTATCATTCTTCTACAACAATCTTACAGGAACGTGTATTTTACACTCAGATCCATTCACCTATACTGTGATGTCTTACTCAGAGAAAGGGTGGAAATTTTACATTTCACAAGAACGTAAGTCTGCATAAATTTATGAACTAGTATTCGTATTTTGTCTGGTTAAAAAAATGAATCCTGGGACATATGATAAGTTTATTTACAAACACTGGGTCGATGCCACTGCTGATGGAGTTTTCCTTCCAAATGGTATCACCAAACCAGTTATTATTTTTATTGTTAAGGTCATATAAAAATTAACTGAGGACAAAACATTGATTTTTTTCTCGAAATATTGAGGATTTTCTACTCATATGTTTGTTCCTCAATGCTCCTCAACCTTTTCCTTTATTTGGCCTTTTAAACGTTTTTGGTTCGAACGTCACTGAAGAGTCTTTTTTAGTTCATTAATAATGCTATTACATTAATTATATATAACAAAATTACAAACCAACAATCTTCTTTATACATTTAATTATATTTACAATGTATATGTTCTGGTTCATGTGAGTATTTGGACAATATGCGTATATTCATATGTCCGATCATACGCGTATATCAACCATATCATTATACTCGTTTAATTATTACCGAGCCCGACCATATGAGTATTTTGTATATGTCTATATTTTATTACTTCTAACTTCCTCTGCAGAATCACACAGCTGCTCGTTCCCCGAACTAAATTGGCACAAGTTACTTACTTAGATTGTTTATCTTTGACAAATTATCAAATCTGTGTGTATCTGTTATATTGCTTCGTTATGGTCAATATCATGCACCTCATGTTCATCAGCAAAGAATACAAAACATAGATCAATTCATATCGGACAATTTCATACAGAATAAAACTTCCTGAAGAAAGTTCTAGTAATAGCTAAAAAATGAACAGTTAGTTATACATGTTATATGTCGTTTCTGCTTTGCCTTGTACATGGTCTTGTATTTATGTTGCTGTCATAGAAGTATTCTCAACATCTAATTGCATATTCATTTAAAAATTCACAAGTTACAAAGAAAGAGATTATTTTGTATGTACGAATTGGAAATCCAACAAATACATAGCCTATTGATCAAACCATAGAACAATGGAAAATTTGAAAGGCCATGCAGTGAATGCATTTTTATAATTAGGACAGCTTCGCCTTATAAATATTAACGTATAAGATAAGAATTTTAAAATTGATACTGTAATAGTTCGGGGTTTTTGTGCTAAGACTCCTGGATAAGTCACTTCTGTGTGCCTCCTGTAAGATAATTAATAATAAAAATCTTAATGGAAGTCAATAAATTGTACTATTTGCTGCTTCAAAAATATTCAAATATAACAAGTTCAGCGGTTCATCAAACAATCACATGAAAAGAGATAAATATTAAGATAAATGTATGTACATGTAGAGCCGAATCTGCTTACCCTTCCGCAGCACCTGAGATCACCCCATTTTTTATGGGGTTCGTGTTACTCAGTCTTTAGTTTTGTGTACTCTCGTTTGTTTTATTGGTCTTTTTTTTAGCCATGGCGTTGTCAGTTTATTTTCGACTTTGCATGTCCCTTCGATATCTTTTGCCTCTCTTTATTGTACATGTTTGATAATAGTTTCTTCTATTGCGTCGTGCAGAACATTAACTTGTTGCACTGCATTCTAATACTCTGCATATTCGGTGGATAAATTCAATATGCAAACCATAAACCCTGAATGATTATTCAATGTCATAACCAATTAACATGATTCGTAATAGCAAAATAATATTCAGGGTGTCAATTAGTTGTTATTTGTTCTAACAATGATTTATATGCATGTATATATGATATTTGAATTATATAGTTACTCATAGTGAAGTAAAAATGTAAGCGTTTCTCATTTACCAAGCTGATATTCCCCTATTCTGTTGACATATGAAATATATATATATTTGTTAAATAGATAGTTTTGCAACCACTTAATAGTTTGTTGTAGATAATATGACGATAAGTTGTGTGAACAGATTGTAAACATGTATTCGAGATTCAATCAAGGAGCCTGATTTCCAATATGAACCATTCCTTTTTATTATCTATATCACTGTATATATGGCTTGAATCACATACCCTCACCTTGAACATATAGAGGGTTGCTGCTTACAAGGAAGCTATTAAACCAAGTCTTTCTGTTGGTTAAGTTGAAATAATTCATTTAATATTTAATGGACGCCATAAAAGTAAGATGAACGTGTATGTTCCAGTTATCATAACCACAATATCGTCCTCATTTCCTCAAATTTGACCAAACGCATTAAGACTTTTCATCGGATTTTTACTTACATGAGAAAATTGATAGGAGCCACATGTGGAGCAAGATATGCTTAACCTTCCAGGAATACCTGATATAACCCTGTTTTGGTGGGGTAGGTGTTGCTAAGTGTTTAGTTTTCTATGTTGTGTTTTGTATAATGTTAGCCTTTTTTCATTTTTTTGTTTTGCCATGGCTTGTCAGTTTGTTTTCTACGAATAAGTTTGAAAATCCCTTTGGTACTTTTCACCTCTCTTTTTTGAATCATATGAAATGATAGTGAAATTTTATTATAATTCATTAAGGATTTGAAGATCAACATATTCTAAGGTGGCGTTTCAGGGAAAAGACATTAAATTTCTTCTGGATGGTTTGTTGTACATAACCTTATCTTTCATTTTGTTGACAGGTAGAAAACAAATATCGTCACTCATTCAGAAAGCTTTAATTTTTACGTACTTTAAGGTAGATTCATGGTTTACCGCCATCTTAGATTGTACAATCTCAATACAAAATTGGTCTAGTTATTTGCCCAAATCCGCAAATTTGGAGACAGATTTGCAATTTAATGGTTAGATTGTTTATTTATATAAAGAAAACTTGGTTATTTATTGTATTATTTAAAATATTTAAACAAATATCAAATTTTTATGTTTTTAGAATCATTTTTTTCAAATAAGCCATTTAAGGGGAGATAACTCTTTTAGTAAAAAAATATATACTGGACTGATAGGGAAATTTTTAATTTTTACTTGTAGCAAGAAAATAAGTTCGGTGACACCATTTATTCTTTTTATTTTCTTAAAACATATTGTGAAACCTATCTTCTTACAATTTATTTCAAAATTCTATCTCATAGAATTTTTTTTATGCACACAAATGTGTTTTTTCATGAACAATCTAACCAAATTTAGGCAATTTTCAACGACTCATAGGTTGGAAAATAGAACGGTGACCCATACTTTTTATTATATTTTTGAAAAAAGCATAGTAAACTCTTCCTTTTGGCAAAGTATGAGAAAATTCTATCTCAAAAAGTATATACTTATGAACTACCTTAAATAATGGACTATTATATTGAATGTATAATTTCCGTTTTTCTAACTGATGTACGGTACATGTCTTTAACCTGAATTATATAAACAAATACGAAAAATCTTGTAACTAATTTGTAAGGTTGAAATATCCCAAATGAAAAGCAAATGGTGAAGTAGAGTATTAAAACAATAGTTTTGATACATTGATCATGTTGTGTTGTGTATAGCCCTGTCTCAGTTATTTCACTTGATAGATAGTAACAATGTTCTGATACCTTTATCATGTTGTGTTGTGTATAGCCCTGTCTCAGTTATTTCACTTGATAGATAGTAACAATGTTCTGCAAATCATTACCAACTTCCAATTGGCATTGCAACCTCTGGTAAGGAATACTAAATAACGCAAGCAAGTTAATGCTGTTCTACGGTAAATTGGCTATTTATTCATAAAAAAATCATTAGAATTTGAAATTATTTTGAACTTTTCTCAAGAAACTTTCATACCCAGAACTAATTTTGATCATTCCTTATATCATCCAAACTTTTAATTTCTGGTGACTCAGAACCGCCCACCTGGTTACCGTAGTAACGGGGGACATTCAAAGATGGCGTGTGAAAAACTTCACAAGCCAGTCGCACCCCCAAAAACTGCACTGATGAATGAAAATAAAGTTGTATTTGGTTAATAAAAGTGTTATCTTTCCTGTGACAGATGTTTCTTTCTTAAAATATGCCTTTTTCCAATAAAAAAATAACAGAAGTGACATATAATCCAACCATGTTACACCAGAAACCAAGTCACATGTCAATTTTAAAAGCGTTTTGTTCATCTAAAAAACAAAAAACAGCAATCTCAGTATTCAAGAATAAATATGCCAAGTTTTCAATAGATCAATATATATTAACAGGGTGCGCCAATGCATCTTTATATATGATTGATACACAAATCTTTTCGCGACGACATGTAAACATTGAGATGATTCAGATTCGATTTTTCCCCTTCACGGTGTCAACGTACCGGGAAAGAAATAAACGACGTTTTTGACTTGAAATGGACACACTAAAGATGTAAACAATGTTATTTCTATCATTTTCATAGTTGAATGACTTAATGAATCTTAAAGGAATCGCGGTGAATACAAATGTTATGAGGGGAAAAAAAGGGGGGAGGGGCATTTTAGCGTTATCCACTATATACTTTGTAAGTACTTTCGTAACCTCTGTTCATTTCTGACTCCACATATGTGACGACTGTAAATTAAATGAACTTGTTTACTTACTTAACTTCAATTCTCATAAGGTTTTTACGACTTTAAGATGACGAACGGCAATAACATCTTTCTAAACAAAAATGTTTCTCTTGAAAGTAAAAGTTCGTATAAAGCCCATTCTATCAAATTCTGCGTGTTTCATGAGAAATATTAATCTGCTCAGACCTGATAAAGTCTTTGAAAATGTTTCACTAAAATTATTATGGATCAGAAAACTGTCACATGTGTAAATGCATCTTTCTAGAAACAATATCTGCTTTAAGCTAGAATTTCTCTATGTTCATTTGTTGAACATGCATTATTTATTCATTGCAGTCTCTTTATTATAAAATATGTCAAATCAATAAATTTTTAAAACAAGTTCATTGGTCCAGAATTAAGAGCAGCAAAAATTATAATATTAGGTAAATAAGAACTTATTTTCTATTGTTATAGAAAAAAATTGAAATAAGAGGTGAACCTATTTGTTTATTTAATAAAGTGGTATGCATGTGAAACAAACAAAGCCTTTACTTCTAGAGTTCATTATGAGTATTAATTAATTATCAAATACATAATGTCTATTTAAAAGTTTCATAAAAACTTATGACAATTTTTCATTCATTTCAAAATTATTTTTCTCACACTTAATATCAAAATCATTGTATATGGCAAATTTAACTGATTCTCCTTATCACAATACATACAATGCTTTTTTTCTGTTGATGTCATGCCCCCGACCTAAAGGGAATTAAATATTTAATGAGTTAGAATAGGGATTCCTCCAAGAATTCATGTTGGAAAATAGGTGATAAGGTACGAAGTGAGATACCTTCTCTCTATATAATATATCAGTGACCGCCGTGGATAGTAAACTTGGAATTGATAGTAAATAGCAAATACAAGTTATTTCTAGTATATTTATTTTTATATTATACTGTAAAACACGAAAATAATTGTAATTAATGGAAAATAAAAATCACGGATTTTGGAAAAAAGGGGGAGGGCAAAAAATAAAAGGTACCTATGGGTTCTCCATGATCAATAATAAATGTAGACAAATATCATCCTGTTGATTTTCTTGTGTTATTGTTCTACTGGAAAATTCTTTCTTCCTTAGTTTTTCCTTAAGTCACATGTAACATGCCAAGAATAATCTTATATACATGTAAGCACATGCAGTTACCAGCCTGCCAAAATATCATGTTTGAATTATAATTCTCACTCATTTCACTGTTTATGTATAGATCCAAAATTATCTCAATAACTGGCATATGATGAATAATGATGTGAACATTTCCTTTTATGTGTTGACATTAAATGAAAGAAGTGCACAGTCCTCGCCTCTGATTTAATATTTTCATTTCTTTGTCTTCAATGTTCCAGAGTCAGTTTGAACATGTAATTTTTCATTTTGTTGTCGTACTGAAAATTGCTTCATTCCACAGTTCACATGTGACATAGCATGGATTATTTCATATTCAGCACTGTTAAAGTTTTGTTATATATGTCCTCGTACTTTTATCTTTTAAATATTCATTTCGCTTTCTGTTCATGCATTAGTCTAAAATTATCCCAATATAGTGTTATAAATGGTCTGACAATTTCCTTGTGTGTGTTGATCTTCAAATGAATAAGTGCTTACCCTTTTTCTCTGATTACTTTTTCCAATTTCAGTTTGTAATAACTGTTATAACACCATTGCTTCCAAGTCATCTTAATAATGAAAAAGTAATGAAAACAGTTAGTGGCAATTTAAAGTTATTATTATTCATGTTATGATACAAAGAGAAAAATTCAGTTTAAATGTTTTGTTCCTAAATCATTATGCAATTAAAGTAAACTTGAAAAAAAAAGTTCTTCGTTAATTTAAAATGAACTTTCAATTTATGAGTTTTTGCAAAACTACAATAAAAGTTAAAATACAGCTTACTATAACTGATATTTACCCATCAATATGCATTACCAATTTGTTATTATTAATTATGACTTTATCAATATTGACTGAATGTAACTCAATACATCACAAAAGTTTTCCAGACTCTTATATACACCTTACACATGAGGGTCTGGATGGTGTTTTCAGAATAGATAATAATACTTAATGGGCAAAAAGTGCAGAATAAAGGGCTAAAAAATAAACAAAGGACTAATAAGAAAAGAGAGGGTGTTTAAATATATAGAGAATAGAAAATAATTGGCAAAATAGATAAAGAATATAGAAAATAGCAAAGAAAAGAATAAAAACATGAAAGGCCCCCATCAAGACTCATACATTATAATATCAATGCTTACATTGTGGAGACCTTTTGTTTGATTTTATCAAAACTACATGTCTTTAGGCATTAAAATGCCATTCTAATGTGTGCATGGTGTATATCAATCTGCAAAAGAAGTTACAATAATTACTGAAAGGTTTTAAACTAAATTTTATACACACCAAATTGTAAATAAAGAAGAAATAAGATTTAAGTAGATTGTTTTAAGTGATGCATGTCAAAATGTAAAAAGATCTACACAAAGAAACACACAGGTACACATTTTTATAGTTAATCAATATAACAAATAAACTTCAATATAATGACTACAAATTAAACAGAATAAATGAATAAAGAAAAAAGTGAAATGTACACAAAAGGGGATGATTAGAAATGAAAGTATGATGACTATCAGATTTAAAACCATTAATAAAAAATTGTTTTGAATTATGACCATGATAATAAATAGTAGTTCTAACATATTTTAACATCTCAAGCAATTTTATTAAATTCAGGCAAGCCATTTGTATGATCAGAGACATATATCTGGTATGATTGCATGCACAGTGCCATGTATGCATATACTTTTAACTATTTTTTTTTTTTTTTTGGTTTTGTAATATGTTATACCTAGAGAATATTATATGGCATTTTCAATATCACACCCGTATCAACCCGAGACACCAATATAATCGTGAGAGCTCTTCTCGAAGGATTATATTGGTTGAGGGTTGATACGGTGTGTGATATTGAAAAAGCCATATCATTTACACTTTATTATATACTTTAAACAACTCATAGATAGTACAAATTCTTCGGTATCAATTTCAAAGTTTGCTACATCACCACCGTCAACATCGTCCATCTTTGAAAAAGTAGCGTTATGACGTAATGACATGACGTCATACAAATAAGGGGTTTGATAAAGTCTTTTGCAACCGTGCTGATATCGATATCATCACGGGTGGCTGATACAGCATGCTTGCCAATGATTGTATTACACATACACTGTTTCTGTATTTACTACTAAGTATATAATAAATTGGAATAAAGATCCAGTAAGGAAATAATTTTGCATGTGGAATCAGAGTAATCTGAGGATTCATGCTCAAAATATGCTTAATAGATATTAATAGGTCAAGTGTTCGCCTCCAATATAAAATTAGAATCATGGCATGCATATAAGACAAATTCAAGAGGGGAGCGGGCAGGCATGGCGCGCGGTCTTTTAACAAATTCTACTCCTTACGTTGCATTGTTGATGGCCATCTTAAGCTTCATCATCATGGATCCGCATCTGTGTACGGCAGGCCATTCTGCAAAATGTCGACATAAAACTACTTAGGCAATGGTCAATGAAGATAGAATTGTATATTAGCGATTAAATAGTGTTGACTTGTATAAATTATTCAAAGGAAGTATGTCTATACAGACTGCCCTAGTCATTTTGACAGCGAAACGTGTAACAAATTGATGCAATCATCAAAAATCAATGCTTAATTTTTTTTTTAAAGTGCATTAACCTACCTGCGTAACAGCTTTGTTTGAAATTCTGAAATATTCAACGAACATGACATTACACACAATTTTATGCCCAGACAGGAAAATAAAATTATAACTCGGGTCTCTCTGATTGGTTAGTGGTACACAATTTAATCTCTTCCAACGTTAACAGTCAGGACAATTCGGGTCTCTAAGATTGGTTAGTGATGCAAATTTAATCTCTTCCCACGTTAACAGTCAGGACAATACCTTTTTTAACTTACACTGTAAGATAAAATATCATCTCGTTTTTAATATAGAATCTGTTTAAAAAATTAATCGTTTTAATATCCGTCAATAGTTTGGTTTTTTTTTATCTTAAAATTGTTGTGACCTTAGCAAATTTACATTTGTAAATATTTTTCTGCAAAAGAATGTGTTGTTTTGTGGCTTTTTCGTCGATGAACATCCCACATGTTCCTCTATTCTTGTTATTAATATTAACATTTTTTAATTACGGAACTATTTCAGCTATCAGTATTTTGTTCCAAAATAAGGTAACTACCGTTAATAACCATTTTGTCAGGTGCTGGTCGCTGTTTGGTCAATTTTTTCTACTACAGAGAACTGGACTTGTGTTATAAATTGGAAAAGCCAATTAAAGCATCTGTTGTTCATGAAGATTTCGTGTGTCCAGGAAGTGAGCTCATGCGTATAGATTCCAATGAAAGACAAGATTATATCAAGCTTGTTACAGGTAATAAAGAACTAAAAAATATGAAAACGTCAAAGTAGAAATTTTAATGCGTCCAAAGCGCTATTCTGGATTTACCTTCATCAGAAACGTTCAAAGCTGAATATTTGAAACCCAAGGGTTTACAATAACGAAAAGTTACTTGATATGTGTAAGTAATAAATAATTACATTCTCGTTTTACTTTGTTAATATGAAATGTTATAGTTATGACAAAATACAATAGGATGGCTGTTTCTTTTAATATTGATAGAAACAGAAAGGAAAAAATATTTCTTTATACAAAAAAAACCATAAGATTTCCAATATGATTCGGTTTCAATCATTTGCACACAAACGTTTAAAACTTTATAATTTCCTTCTTTACCTTGAAAAAGATAATATATCGGTAATTCCTTTCCCCATAATGATTAAATCAGAGTCATCTCAGATACTCCTACAGCAACTTTATCTTCGATACAGTCAGTGCCACATACTTGATTCAAGTTTTCAAGTATATTCATAGGTCTGTAGGAATATCCTCAGTACAAGCATACCATCATTTAGATATTAATTCCTGAGAACATTTACAAGAAGAAGTAATTATCGGAATATTATCTCTATACTCTTGATTTTTTAAGTCAGTGGTTCAAAGGTTACGGTAACAGTGGCTATGAAAGGACTCTGTTTTTTGAAGAACAACAAAAATGTATGGTATTTATCAGAGATATTTAGCAATATGTGTTGGATTATTAACCCACTAATAAAAAAGACCCCAAATGTAGTCAATAGGTCAAAGGTCAAAGTTAAAGTTTCAACAGCAACAAATGTTTTCGAATAACATCTTTTGAACCATTAGTCTTAAACTTTGTTACAATTCCTTGGAAAACATATATTGATTATTTATACTTCAGAGAACAAACTTCTTCGGGACAATATCGTTAATAAATTAAGGATGTATCAAACACGAAAGGGTAAAGAGCTTTGGTTTGAGAAAATGAATTTTGAGGCAACTGTGTGAAAGGTCAAGTTCACAACAGCAATTATTTCTATCCCTAATTTATAATTATTACAGACATGCATTTATTTCAGCTGACATTGGAAGAGTGTACCGTAATGGAATCTGTATACAAGGTAAAAAGACACAAGGTAAATGGAATTACAACGATGGATCTACAATGGAGTATTTCAGGTGGCAACCAGATCAACCAAGGGGATCATCTAACGTTATCCGCATGATTCTGTCGCGAAACTACTTGTGGATGACTTTTGATAGTGGAAATTGTACCTATATGTGTGAATATCGATCACAGAATTAAAGATGGTGGCGCTGTCAATATAAAGAAAAAGTTTACTTCACTTTTCTACTTCTCTATTTCATACTAATCATAAGAATTAATGTAGAATATACTGATCTATAAAATATATCTATTATACCCTATTCATAGACCGAAATAAACAAGCTGTTATCTTTGGTAAATTGGGTACACTTAATTAGTTAAAAAAAATACTCTTTTATCAAAATTCATCAATTTGAATTACAATGCAAAAGTGTTTTAATTCAAAACCGTATCACTATTTAATTGCACGTGATCATAGTAATTGTACATTCTGTTTTGCTTTTGTGTAAGGTTTTTGCTCTTTGTGGTTGAGCGTTTCAAATCAAGATTTCTATGTCTGTGATCATATTGATAACTGCTACTTACTTCTTATTTTGGTGTTAAGCTTGTGTGTCCTATGGATACGCTATTATATCTTACAATCACAATTACAATTAGATAAGCAGAAATCTGAATTTCTTACTTTTGTACAATGTCCGGATTTCATGGCTTCAAGGTTGTTGTATAAACTTTATTCTGTATTGCTGTCTCTAGAAGAACAAGTGTAGAATTCATATATAAAGTAATAAATTTGTAGATAAAACTTGATTTTTTTAATATCATTGCAGCATATAAGTACAGCAAATTATTATGAAATGGCAAAGCTGTTTTGATGCAAGGAAATAAATTGTCACATAATGACACTCTTTTTTATCTAGACAATGATGATGATGATGATGATGATGATGATGATGATGATGATGATGATGATGATGATGATGATGATGATGATGTCGACGACGACGACGACGACGACGATGATGATGATGATGACGACGATGATGATGATGATGATGATGATGATGATGATGATGATGATGATGATGATGATGATGATGATGATGATGATGATGATGATGATGATGATGATGATGATGATGATGATGATGATGATGTCGACGACGACGACGACGACGACGATGATGATGATGATGACGACGATGATGATGATGATGATGATGATGATGATGATGATGATGATGATGATGATGATGATGATGATGATGATGATGATGATGATGATGATGATGATGATGATGATGATGATGATGATGATGATGATGATGATGATGATGATGATGATGATGATGATGATGATGTCACGTTCTTAACGAAGAAGCAGCAATTATTTATTTTATTAGTATGATATCATATTTTGACATGACGTTACTACATTAATACCATTCATGGAATTTCGCGGTATTTTATACATTTTTCCAAGCTCTACGGCACTCTTTCCTGTTGTTATGCATTAGAATATAAATACCAATTCTATTGGTTGTTTTTGATTTCAGGTTTAACACAGCGAAATCAACATAATGTTTGCACTTACTATACGATACTTTTTTGGTCTTTTGGAAAATGTTGTTTGTGCTGTATTTAGACCCCTCTACCAAGAAATTTGTTTTACATGCAAACGTATAAAAATTGCGGTTTTTATCCAACGCAATCATAGGTTTGAACGTTGTTTTCAATTTAGACTTGTTTATATTTTTTCGTTTGTGCTTGTATTATATTTTCCTTCAGGTTTATAGGATCCGTTCATCCTATTTCGACTCTTTAAAATTCAAGAGTCTATCCTAAATTGAGGTAAATTATATGGCCTTCCAAATACCGTTTCGATCCCTAACATCACTGAAGAGACATTAATTGTCGAAATCCGGATATGGTGTACTAATTTTTGCACCTCATGTTTGCGGTATACCATCTTCTCCGCAAGTTAATTGTTTTCTGGTTGGTATTAAATTAATAATTAGGATCCATGTTACATCTCGTGATCAATTTATTTGCCAATCGTCAATGGCAGTCAGCAGGGTTTAAGAACATCAGTTGTTCGACCTGTTAGTCAAATGCGATTTGTTAAAATATACTTTTCACTTTTTTGGTCTTTTGGAAAATTTTGTTCGTGCTGTTTTTAGACCCCTCTACCAAGAAATTGGTTTACATGCAAACGTATAAAAATTGCGGTTTTTATCCAACGCAATCATAGGTTTGAACGTTGTTTTCAATTTAGACTTGTATATATATATATGTTTGGGCTTGTATTATATTTTCCTTCGGGTTTATATGATCCGTTCATCCTATTTCGACTCTTTAAAATTCAAGAGTCTATCCTAAATTGAGGTAAATCATATGGCCTTCCAAATACTGTTTCGATCCCTAACATCACTGAAGAGACATTAATTGTCGAAATCCGGATATGGTGTACAAATTTTTGCACCTCATGTTTGCGGTATACCATCTTCTCCGCAAGTTATTTGTTTTCTGTTTGGTATTAAATTAATAATTAAGATCCATGTTACATCTCGTGATCAATTTATTTGCCAATCGTCAATGGCAGTCAGCAGGGTTTAAGAACATCAGTTGTTCGACCTGTTTGTCAAATGCGATTTGTTAAAATATACTTTTCACTTTTTTGGTCTTTTGGAAAATGTTGTTTGTGCTGTATTTAGACCCCTCTACCAAGAAATTTGTTTTACATGCACACGTTTAAAAATTGCGCTTTTTATCCAACGCAATGATAGGTTTGAACGTTGTTTTCAATTTAGACTTGTATATATATATTTATATATATATATATATATATATACCATGGAGTTTAACATACACTGTATAGTTTTGATGTTGCTATTGTGAATAGGAATGACTTTTAAACTCATCAAATTTACACTGAATAAAATGTATAGAGGATCCTCTGACGTCCTTGGGTGTATTTAGTAGCAACACCTGTAAAGATGGTATACGCTACAAGATTGAAGGATTGCTGAAATGAACGATCATTATGATAGATAGTTCATTCATACAGGAACATATAAGTTTGTTATTAACTTAATAACTCTATATGTATGTTTTTCTAACATATATATTTTTTTTATCATTCTATCAAGGAACGTGATTTTGGGATTTGAAAATGCTTGATTTTATTTTTGAGATATTGTATTATCCTATATTTTTTTTAAAACGTGTTGTAAAACTTCCACTTAAATGTAGGCGTCTGTGTACGGCATATAACATTGACTCTCTTTTTGAAGTTCTTTATTCGTGAAGTTTAGCTTAAAATAACACGATAAGTTATGAATGCCAATGAAACAACTCTCCACTAGAGACCAAATACGGTAGGCAACTAAAGTCTCCGTACGGCCTTGAACAATAGCAAAATCCATACAGCATAGCAAGCTATAAAAGGCCCCCAAATGAAAAATGTATAACAATTCAAACAAGAAAACCAACGGGCTGATGTATGTACAAAACAATAAACAAAAAACAAATATGATATAGAGCAACAAATAACAACCCCTGAATTACAGGCTCTTGACTTGTAGACGAGTGACATTAACCATAAATTTGTATTGTTAATGCACCCACCTAATATACGGCTAAATCATTTACCATTCGAAAGCACAACATCTGTACAATCTTTTTTGCCCGGTCGTCAAAAATTCGTATGTTGCAGTTTCTGTCAAATCACAACGAAAGGTCAAGGACAGACAACTTCTAATTTTACAAGATGTCAGCATTTTTGCATATTCTGTCTTCTGAATAATAATATTTTGTATAGACATATGGAAATATATTAGAACAGATGTTAATAGTAAATTATTAAAAGCACTTTGGAATATTAATGTCGGATTTTTAATAGATATCGCCGTTTTCCAGAAATTCCATTGAAAATGACACAAATACAGGAAAACCAAACTTTGTGTACGTGATTCAACTGTTATTCACCACAAAACCAAACTTTTTGTACGTGATTCAACTGTTATTCACCTCAAAACCAAATAACATACTTTATTTAATGCTAATGATGTTTTTGACATAATTAGATTACTGCAATTACCCTTCTTGTTAATTAAACAGCCAATAATAACAACCATGCAGTTGCCCAAAATAACGCCATCTGCAAAAAGATAACTTTTTAGCTGTTCTTTGTTAAAAAATATTTGTATGTAGTCGATATTTAGGTTGAAACACACAAATCTTAAAAGTGCAAAAATGTTAAAGGACAGAATACAGAGGTTATTCATGCTTTAGGGGAAAATTTTGGAGCAAAATTTTGATATTTCAATATTTCAATATATATATATGTTTTCTTGGTTGCATATACTGCATCTTGCATTGACTTTGGAAGTGAAAATTGTTATAGACTAGCCACTGAAATGTTCTTTATGCCTGGTCAAGGTATTGAATCCTATCAAACTACGTATATCTTGTAAATAAATTGAGACTTTCGCAATTATATTTACTTACATTAATTTTTTAAATGGAAGTTTCGCGCAATTCGCAATAACAATACATACACTCCCTTTATAGTTTAAATATACATACATTGTAATATAAAGATGATTGATTAATTGTTGGTGTTTGACGCAATTTTCGGTTTAGCATTTTTGGCTACTAAAGTATTTAGCGGCGACCAGTTTTTATTGGTTTAGGCCCATGGAGTGCCCAAGGAACCACCGACCATCGGCAGGAAAACTGGCAATCCCCATCAACAATACATTAGTTATAGCTATTTGTATCAAGGACGAAATTACTGTGTAGGTGTCACAACAAAAATCTACCAATCATCATCAATTACCTTTTGTAAATGTAGGCAACCTCTTACAAAATAAAGCAGTTTTGATATTGATGTGAACTTCAGCTAAATGTAACAAGTAAAGTTACTTAATAGAAATAGAAATTTAAATGCATTTGAACCACTTTTATTTCAAATTTAATTGGCCATGATTTTGCATTAAAATGTCAATGTAGATGTGCAGCATATTATTTAAGGCATTTAGAAAAAGAGCACTATTTTAGTAGATCATCTGTTAAGCATTGGTGGGACATTGGCATATTAACCTAAAGATAGTACATGTACATTAAGAATAAATATGGTTATAATGAAGTTTTTTTTATTTTTAAATATCTATACAATTGTGAGAAATGAAAAATTGTGATTGAATTTATCCAGTAGCTGTTGTTATCTAATAGTTCGTTTCTATGTATGTTGCATCTTCGTTTGTTTTTTTTTTTGTTTTTTTTTTTGTCTCACTTCAGTGTTTCTGTTGTTTCATTGTTTTCCTCTTAAAGTTGATGTGTTTCCCTCGGTTTTAGTTTGTAACCCGGATTTGTTTTCTCTCAATCGATTTATGACTTTTCAACAGCGGTATACTACTGTTGCCTTTATTTGTCCAGTTTTTTAATTTGTTTTATGTCATCTAATCTTAAATTAAGTTTTTGGATATTAATTGTGCACTGAGCCCTCTGTTGTTGATCTGACAGCGACTTTTGGTGATTTTCTCACTTTATTTTCATATTTTTCCGTTCGGGTTTCTCATGGTGCGAAGATCTGACAACAATAATAAGTGATATATAAGTTCATGAAAAAAAACGTACAAAATGTTATGTATAAGTGTTAAAAACATGGGTTAAAACAATCTGACTAAAATTCAGATCTATCACAAATCGCCTGCTCATTTATCGTATGAGAATAACGAAATCAGAAATCTACATTTTAATAAGATTGGGGTTAACGTTATGAGATAGCTTGAAAGCAGGTATGTT